TCATGTCAGACTACTGTGGTTGCCACTATGATCCAAGCATCCTGACCCCCAACTCCAGCACTGCCCTGAGTATTGTCCTGGAAGGCAAACACCTTCCCGACAAAGTTGATCTCTTCTTAAAACCTGTGCCTTCATCTCAAGAAGGATAATGTCACAGCTTAGGATAAAGAGATACTTCCTGAGTAGGGACTTCCCTGAAACAGTGCGTATCATCTGTCGTTCAGGTCACTGTGATCTCCAGTGGCCACATTGTTCTAGCAACCCTGGCTTTAGAATCACCCAGAGACGGGTTTGTGTATTTCCTACTGAACATGGTGTTCTATATTTTATCTCCTTCTCAATACTCATGACAGTTCTATGAGATAAAACATAAAAAGGCTCTCCCCCACTTAGAGATAAGAAAATAAAAACACAAAAGCTTGTGTGACATACTTAAAGTCCTGATCTAACGGAGAAAACGCAGGCAAAGCCGTGACTCTGTACGTGCGTGTTTGGCACAAGATGTCACATTCACAAGCAAGATATGATAGCTGCAGAACAATACGAATGTACCTAATGCTACTGAGCTGTATGCTGAAAGAGGTTAAGACTCATCACAAGGAAAAAAATGTTTTTGTCACTACGTATGGTGACAAATGTTAACTGGACTTATCATGGTGATCATCTTTCAATATATACAAATATTAAATCATTAAATTGTACATCTGAAAGTAATATAATGTTATGTCAATTATACTTCAGTTAAAAAAATAATTAAAGGGACTGCTGGGTTCAGTCAGTTAAGCATCTGCCTTCAGCTCAGGTCATGAGCCCAGGGTCCTGGGATCGAGTCCCACATCGGGCTCCCTGCTCAGCGGGGACCCTGCTTCTCCCTCTGCCTGCCACTCCCCCTTCTTGTGCTCTCTCTCTAACAAATAAATAAATAAAGTCCTTAAAAAGTAGATTTAAAAAATTAAATAAGTAAATAAAAAGAAAGAAAGAAATGGCAAGACAGTAAATTTTATATTGTGTGTATTTTACCACAATTTTACAAATTGGGAAAAAGAGTTTATCCAGAAAAAAGGCAAGGTAGTGATGTGACTTTATGTAGCCGGTACTGCCCTTGGACTGTGATCTCTGCTTTGATTCTGCACCTGTAAAGGCCATAGTTGACTCAGTCAAGATCACAACGTTCTGGTAATGAGGAAGGTAACACTTTACACTTTATGTCCAATATGATCATTTTCAGTTTCCCTCTAAAGTTACCTAAAGGAAGTTACCTTCCTTCCTTTTTCCATATTTTGTCATCACATTCTTCATTCATTGTGTAGATATTTACGGAGCACCTACTATGTGCAGGGCACAGTTCTAAGCTGATGCTCAGCATTGAAATACTGAAATAGTTCCAAACCAGTTGGTAAGTAGCTGCGGTCTGCAGCATCCCATGCCCCTCCACACCGGCCACCTCATCTCTTCCCTGGGACATCCCCCACCCTGGACTTCCCCATGACTCAGCATAACAGGAAGGCTCCATGGTGGCCAGCTTCCAATTCAACTGGTGAATGGCTGGGCCTAACTCCTTGTTAAATGTTTTATCACCTCCCAGACACAGCAATGAACAGAACAGACAAGATTCCTACCCTCTAGTCTAGGAAAGAGATAATAAACAATAAATACATAAATGAATCAGATAATTTCTAAGAGTAGAGTGCTATAAAGAAAACAAAGCAACAAGGGACTAGAGAGTGACTGGGGATGGGGGGAGCAGAGTAAAACTTGAAAAGATGTCTCTGAGGAAGTGACATTACAAGGAATCAGGAAGGCAAAGGTTTTAGGTAAAAACACTCCAGGCAGAGAGAACAGAAATATCAAGGCCTTCTGGTGGGAATAAGCTTGAGATTTTCATGGTTAGAAGGCCAATGTGATGGGGGCATCCTGAGCAAGGGGAACACAGAGGTAGACAGGGCCAGATCAGGGAGGATCTTACTGGCATTGGTAAGGAGGTTGAATTTAACGCCAAGAACAGTGAGCAAGCACTAGACAGATTTGAAACAGGGCCATGAATGACCTAATTTATATTCTTATAAGATTACTCTTAAAATTGTGTGGCAACTGTGATTAAAGAAAAGCAAGATTGTAAAAAGGAAACGATGTATGATGCTCTGGTGATCATCCAGGTGAACAGCAACAGTGGCTGGAGCTAGGGGACAACAACAGAAATAGAAAGAAGTATTCTGACTCAATATATGTTTTAGAAGCAGAGCTGACCAAACTTACTGATGAGTATAATATGGGAAGAGGAAACAGGAGTTAATGAAAATGACTACTATTCTTTGCTTCGGCAAGTCACCGATGGTAGTCCATTTACTGAACAGGCAACGACTGTGGCAATAAATAGGTTCGTAGAGAAAAGGAATAAAAAGTTCTGTTTTGCCACAATAAGTGTGAGATATCATCTAGAGACATAATGTGGAGAAACAAACACACAGTTGGATATTTGACCTTAATAATAGGAAGATTCCCCCAGAAGATTCCGGCTTATCCAAATAGCAACATTTAATACACGTGTAACTTCACGGAGATGTATGTATAATGCACATTACTGACTCCCTTCCTACAAAACTTGTGCCAACAATTAAATGCATACACACAACACAAAGTAAGGCACCAAATTCTCTTTAAGGAAAGAATAGAATTCTTGGTTTTCATTTTTATTAAGTGTGTCAAAAAGCTTTCTGGGGAATGCATTCCCAAAATTGGAAAAGAAAATCAATTAGGAAAAAAACGGTACAAGAATAATTACTTTCCATGGCTTCTCTGGACTGTTAACAAGCATGTAAGGCAAGCTCGTGCTGCCCTCAGCACTTCTTCAACCCTGCTGAGACTGCTTTTCCTTCATTTGGTTGCATGAAAGTGGTGGAAACTTCTGCAGCAGATCCAAGCTCAGTGCATCTACTGTGACTGAGCTTCCTTTCAAAACCCTAGAGGTACCACCGATGAAATTAAGGATGACACCAGAAACGGGAAGGCCGGGCATTAAGAAGGAAAGAAAAAAGGAGAAAGTGGGGAAGAGAGGAAGGAGAGGAGAGAGCAGTGGATGACCTCTTCCTGATGGCAATCCCTTATGACAGAGGACTCCCGGAGAACATGCTCACACGGCATCACAAAACCCCTCAGGAAAGACCCGCTTGCTCACGTGGCTTGAATCCAAAGGTTAGTACAGGCTCTCCGTATTCTAAACATGGTGGCAATTATCAGTTTCAAATGAGTAATAATTATCAACGCAAAGTGAAAAATAAGCATGCCTGCTTAATTCAGCTTACCAGCACTTCGCTGAACCTTCACGCCAACAGCCAGCTTTTTGTGCATTGTTTTAAAATAAAAGCAGTAGTCTGTCTGGCACTACAAATAATCCTCGTATCCTCAGAATTGGAAGGAAGCTTAGAGGTCATTATAGCCAACCCTATCATTTTACAGATAAGGAAACTAAATAAAGCAAAGAGAGATAAAGTGGCTTACCCATCATCCCAGAGCCACTTCAGGATGAAAAAATGTTTTTAGTCATGATTCTTGATATTATACCATGCTGCCTACAGAGTGGGAAAGAAAAGTACCACAGGGGATGGCCCCAGGCTTTACTGGAGCTACATCAGGGGGAGAAAAGATGGGCAGAGCTGGACATCTCAGCCCTGGAAACAAGGCCCCAGGCTGCAGGCTGTCGGCCTGCCAATATTCTCAGCCTACACCCTACAATATCTGACAGTCATTCCAACGCCACCTCTGGGTTTTTTCTCCCAGAGCTTTTGGTTTGATGTGGCAGAATGTGAGGTATAGTAGCTGGTGCCTCCTTCCGTCAAGATCTTCAGAAGGAGGCCATTGAAAGGTCACACAGCAGTGTGCTTCCAGGCTTCAGAGAAGCATAGACCCTCCCCAAGGATGATGGGAAATGATGCCTCGCTCCCCTGCCTTTACACCAGCATATTTCTAAGTGCATATCACACATGTCCCTAAAAAGCTAGTGCAGGTTACAGATGAGTTTTAGCCCTGATGGCTTCTGCCTTCCAAGTTTTTGCCCAATCTCAGTATATATAGAAAATTCTAGAAATAGTCGCACCAAAACTCTGCAGCACATTCACGTGGAACTCACATTTTTACATTTTAGTGCTTACAGAGAACAAAATTTCCAATCAAAATTATTTTGGGAAAGTCTTGTCCAGTTCTTAGGGAAGTTGCAATATATGCAGGCTTTATGTTTGGTTTGCCTACTACAAACACATGTATAGATTAATAAATGGATTGATAAAAATAATAATAACCCTCCCCCACGCAATCTACAATTTCCTCTTTTGCAAAAGAGGAACACCTCAACAGTCTTTAAAAATCTTCCACTATACTGGGGCACTTGGATGGTTCAGTAGGGTAAGCATCCGACTCTTCATGATCTCAGGGTTGTGAGATTGAGCCCAGCGTGAAGGCTGATTCTCTCTCTCTCTCCCAGTCCCACTGCCCCTCCCACCCTTCTCTTGCAAAAAAAAAAAAACAAAAACAAACAAACAAAAAAACACATCTCCCACTATAGGGGCGCCCAGGTGGCTCAGGCCATTACATGTCCAACTCTTGATCTCAGTTCAGGTCTTGATCTCACGGCTATAAGTTCAAGCTCCACGCTGGGCATGGAGCCTACTTAAAAAACTAAATAAAAATAAATATCTTCCACTATATATTCTTTTCCCTAGAAATATTCTTTCTGGATATTCTTTTTTTAAAAACACCTATACAATTGCAGGATCCAAGCTACCCATTTCAGTTCTAAGATTCTCTCATTAGGTATTAGGAAATAAAATCTGGGAGTTAAACAGCCCATGGATAGTAGTCCACATTTTCCGTTCCACATCCATTCCCAGGGTGTTAATAATTTTCACCATCTCCCAATTCCACTGAAAAAGTGGCCTGGATTTTATGTGACAGTGTTAGCATTCCATTGGCCTGATTATAGAAAATAATCATGAAAAAGTACTTACAGCATAAGCACCTATCAAAAATGCCGCATTTGCTCTTTTCCGTTGATCAAAACAGGTGTAGTGCACTATTTTCTTTCTTGATAAACTGTATGACTGAAAAGAGGGAATAAAAAGAGTGTAACCATAGAGACAATGTTAAAATATACAGAAGGTAAACATCATCTCAACTTCCAAGATGTGTCACAATCAGTGAAATCTACCAACTTTCAACTTTCATTTCTATGGCATTTGTTTTTTTTTTTTTAAATTTATTTATTTATTTGAGAGAGCGAGAATGAGAGAGAGAGAGTACATGAGAGGGGGGAGGGTCAGAGGGAGAAGCAGACTCCCTGCCGAGCAGGGAGCCTGATGCGGGACTCGATCCCGGGACTCCAGGATCATGACCTGAGCCGAAGGCAGTCGCTTAACCAACTGAGCCACCCAGGCGCCCTCTATGGCATTTGTACATGAGCTTTTGAGGGGTGGAAGATTACTGGCGTTGACTTTTTACAGCCCAATCATGATGCCGATTTGACAATAGAAGACATATTTCTCTCCAAGAAGGGAGACATGCAATGGGAAAGAATTAAATTACATCTATTTCATCCATCCCCCCACACCCCTCCTCTCTGGCAACCACTAGTTCATTCTCTGTATTTATAAGTCTGTTTGTGTTTTTGTTGTTGTTGTTATTTGTTTGTTCATTTGTTTTGTTTTTTAGATTCCACATATAAGTGCAATCATATGGTATTTGTCTTTCTCTGCCTTACTTTACTTAGCATAATACCCTCTAGGTCCATCTATGTTGACACAAATGGCAAGTTCTTTTTTAAGGCTGAGTAATTATTCATCCTTTTTCCTTCCCTGCATACCACACCCACTCCCAGAAAAGTTATCTGTACTTTTCATATTTTACAGTTTATTTTTAAATGTGTTAATCAGTCTATTTAACTCAGAGCACCAATACTAATATTAACAGAGCATCAATACTCATATTTTCTTTCTAGAATGTTCTACAAAAAATCCCCTTTCACTTATCTGAAAATAAATGGTTAATGGGAAAAGATGAACCACCAAAAGGGTGGGATCAGCAGACATCTTAATACAATACATGGATTCAAACAAACAGTTATTAAGCACCTGCTATATGCCATGCAATATGCTGCACGCTCAAGTATTCCACTAAATCCAAAAATTAGCAACTTGGTATGCTGTATACATGCTAAACATGAAAAGTAAAAAAAGCTGTTAAAATGAAATCAAAGTATTCATCAAACTCAAATAAACATAAAACAATGAGAACACTGATGCAACTAAATGAAATCTGCTCAATTTCCTCACATTCCAAAAGTTACAGCATTTTGACAAATGGTTTTCAAGATACAGATACATAGGTACCTCTTAATATTTGCCTATAAATTCAAACTGACTGTAAAAGCAGCTTTTTATCCCTTACACACTGACCACAACCCAGAGAATACCTGCTTTTACAGCTCCTTTTAAAAATGTAAGAGAGCTCAACTACCTACCCTTCTTTGTTCACCTGGCTATTTTCTACAAGGAAAAGAAACTCTTCCAACTCTGAGGTCTTTCTACAGGAACTGCAGTGTTCTGGCTTTAATGTAACCACAGAAAACATAGCTGTATGTATCCCAGCAATGAGCCTGGAAACCCTCACCATCCCTTTAGGCATTTCTTTCCTAATCAAGAATCACAGGGGCACCTGGGTGGCTCAATCGTTAAGCGTCTGCCTTCGGCTCGGGTCATGGTCCCAGGGGTGCTGGGATCGAGCCCCACATTGGGCTCCCTGCTCCACAGGAAGCCTGCCTCTCCCTCTCCCTTTCCCCCTACTTGTGTTCCCTCTCTTGCTGTGTCTCTGTCAAATAAATAAATAAAATCTTAAAAAAAAAAAATCACGGATTCTGAAAATGGCATTGCTCTTTTAAATTGAACTTCAAAAAGTAAGGGTTTGCCTCAAAGTGAGTCTCATTACCTAAGTCCTCATTTCCAGACAGGCTTATGAAAATACCCCTATGAAATAAAGCTTTAAAAATACATTTTATTAAATTCAGTTCAGTCAACACACTGAAGTTATCTAAAGACGTCGTCACTATCAATCATGCTGACACCTGTCTCCTTGCTTCCTCAATTTGTCGTTTGTTTTCTTTCTAAGATTTATTTATTTTTGAGAGAGAGAAAGCACACGAGTGGGGTGGGGGGGGTGAGGGGGCAGAGGGAGAGAGAAAGAGGAAGAGAAGAAGACCCACCCCGGAGCATGGAGCCCCATGTGGGGCTCAATCTCATGACCCTGAGATCATGACCTGAGCCGAAATCAAGAGTCAACATTTAGGGGCACCTGGGTGGCTCAGTTGGATGAGCATCTGACTCTTGGTTTTGGCTCAGGTCATGATCTCAGGGTTGTGAGACTGAGCCATACAAAGGGCTCCATGCTCAGTGGGGAGTCTGCTTGAGATCTCTCCCTCTGTCTCCCTCTCTGTCTCTCAAATAAATAAATAAATCTTTAAAAAAAAAAAGGGGTCGATGTTTAACCGACTGAGCCACCCAGGCGCCCCTGCTTCCTCAATTTGAAGCCATTGTCTGCAGGACATTTCCTTTTATTATTTGTTTGTTGGTTTGTCTGTTGGCTTGTTCTTTCCATTTATTGTTCTCCATCACTAAGTTAGTCTTGATTTACCGAAAGGAGAGTCAAGGCCCTCAAAACTTAAGCAGATTTTATGGTGTTTGATCCCAAACCTAAAGACTGCCTTCCATAGGCCAGGCACCCACAAACACGAGTCAGGCTGAGCATAAGGACTCAGCTCTTCTGGCTCCCGGCCTCTCACTAATTACATTACCTGGTTCCCTAAAACACCTGTGGGGAAGAAAATATCCACAACTGATCTGGAGTTTGGATTGTCTGTTTTAATGCCCTTTTCCACTAAGAATTTAGATTTCACAACAAACTATTGCTATCATTTAATAATGTGGAATTAAATTTATTTTACAAATCCATTCACCAAAAGGGACAAACCCACAAGGCTGTGCTTTTATCACCAATAGTCTTTTTGGTTGTTTTCAAACGTTTTGCATTTGCTTGGTTTTTGTTTTTTCACTCTTCTTTGAAAGTATATGGGATATACTTTAGTATACGTTGCAGAGACCATCCTGCAGCAGAAACCATGAAGCTACAGGATGAAATTCTAGACGAAACTTTCTTTTCACTATAAACCATAAATTTTTTAAAGTAAATATAATACAAATTAAACTTTTAAGGACTTTAGAAGAATTTTTAAACTTTACAAGCTTTCAGAAATTACATCAGATAAAGAATATTCTCGTAAAATACACCTACAAATTTTAACTATTTTAAAATATCTCCTGTTGGAAGCTGTCTATAGGATGGAAACAATTTTTTTAACATCCATTACCATACATAATGACAAAATTTTTTTCTTGTGATAAGAACCTTTAAAATTTACTCTCTTGGCAACTTTCAAATATATAATATAGTATTATTAACTATGGTCACCATGATGTACATTACAATAACTGACTTTTTAACTACAACTTTCTAATTTTTAGGAAAATCTTTTAAGCTCCTAGCATTTACCTTGCATAGATGTTTTCAGAATGCCATTGTTTTTCTCAGTTAATTCTCAAAAGCATTACAGTCAAGAAATCATCTGCCTAGTGAAATTTGGCCCGTGTCTCCCAGGTCAGATCACAAAGTTTGAGTTCTCACTCAAGGAATCAAAACTAATTCACAATAAATGAGAACAGAGAAAACTCTTAAGTCTTACTGGCCTTGTCCTAATTTCCTTCCTGGTCACGGCCAGGCCTTCCTCTCATAGGTCACCTTGCCCCAGTCTTACACCAGCAATGCTATCGTAACATAGCAGATATTCTGGTACTGGAATGAAAAATTTCAAGGATGGGGCACCTGGCTGGCTCAGTCGGTAGAGCATGCGACTTTTTTTTTTTTAAGATTTTATTTTTTGACAGCAAGAGAGGGAACACAAGCAAGAGGGAGTGGGAGAGGGAGAAGCAGGCTTCCCTCCGAGCAGGGAGCCTGATGCAGGGCTCGATCCCAGGACCCTGAGACCGTGACATGAGCCAAAGGCAGACGCTTAATGACTGAGCCACCCAGGCGCCCCAAGCATGCAACTCTTGATATGGGGTTCTGAGTTCAAACTCCATGTTGGGTGTAGAGATTACTTAAAAATTAAAAAATGTTTTAAAAAACGACCTACTACATATTAAAGCATTCCAGAAGAAACAATACAATCCACTGGAGACACCAATGACTCAAGTCCCTTTAGAGAAACATCCTTGAAGAAAGATCTTCAAGATCTTTCCTGGAGGAACTTACCACGGAGGAAGAGAAAGGCACAGTCTGTAGACAAGAGGACCCTAATTGATGAATGAGCCCAGTAGATATTTTCTCAGCTTCTGCCCTAATACCAAGAAAACTTCATGCCTCCAAACTGAACTATGTCTTCCTTACTTTGGCCCAATTCCTCTGTGGTTGGGTATGCTGACCAGGCCCTTCAAGGAGAGCACTTGCAGGGGCACCTGGGTGACTCAGTCAGTTAAGTGTCTGCCTTCGGCTCAGGTCATGATCCCAGGGTCCTGGGATCGAGCTCTACATCTGGCTCCCTGCTCAGTGGGAAGCCTGCTTCTCCCTCTGCCCCTCTCCCTGCTTGTTCTCTCTCTCTCCTCTCTCAAATAAATAAATAAAATCTTTAAAAAAAAAAAAAAAGGAGAGCACTTGCAAAGTTAGACCATTACCTCTGGCTTCAGTGGGCTATCTGCTCAATTACAAATGGTTTTTGCTTTACATGAGAAGTGCGGAGATTACAAAAACACTGTACGTTAACAAAGTAAAGTTAGAACCTGGTAAAACAAATGAATGTAGTCTTAAATATAAAGGGGAGGATGTCACAGAAGGAATACTAAGACCTCTGAACTATTTGCCTGCTCTGCAGCAAGCCTGCACATGACCAATTACAAATGATAACCTGCAGCCCCTATTCACATGTATTTCAGATTTCTATCTAGAAACTACAGTATATAGCCTTCTGAACCTTCTTAACCTAAGCGGACATAGCCAGCCC